GTGTGCACACATCTATGTGTAGCCATTCATCCACATTTGAACAGAGTGGACAGTGAAATCCTGTAAATACAGAGTGATAAGGAAGATAAAAAATCAAACCTGCTTTAAAACCCAGCAACACAACTGTAGCTGTATAACTTTACAACAGCAACACTGCTTTAACAAAAAAGCAAAACAGCAAGACTTATTTGACATCAAAACAAAAATTATAAAATGCCGTCTAATCGCTCTCGCTGTACTTTGATGTCACACACAGAACGGTCTGTGCAGTGCTGCTTCAAGTCCTACACCTATTGTGTTTTATTAGGAGACGCACAACAGTTCTTCTGTGGCTTTATAGGTAATATTTTCACCTACACAATTTAGCAAATCAGACAATATTGTGTCTAATATATACCACAATATTAACTTCCTATTATTGAATTGTTGTAAATAAATATCACATTTGCAACTGGTAAGTGTTCAAAAAATGCTGAGAAATCACTTAATTTAGCCCCACAAGAGGGATTACTGATAAACTGTCTGAAAAAAAGAAAGTCACGTTTTAGAGAAGAAAAAAATCACCCACTGACTTTCAAAGTTGCTACATAGTAACGACTTTCTACTTCCGAGGACCTTGATAGACATGTAGTGGAGTGAAAAGTACAATATTTGTCTTTCAAATGCAGTGAAGTTAAAGTCATAAGTTCCCAGAAAAAATTATACTCAAGTAAATTTACTTAGTTACTGTCCGCCTCTGCATATTACTACTATCATTTCTACAGTATACAGAATATCATATATACGGTAGCCTATGTGAATGTCTGCATGCATAAAATACCTGGAGTATCTACTACTCACTCAATACGTTTGTTATGGGATAATGTAAGCAGTTGGAGGCAGTGCAGTGTACAGTATTCAGCCAGCGTTTCATTCTGAACATAGTGATCTTGTTTTTGATTTTCTCTTGGCACATGCATTTAATGACATGATTTATACACTGACTGTCCCACCTTTTAGGAAGGCCCAGTATTTCACACTTAATCCTATACATTCTCATCCTCAAATCAATTGTTATTCTATTTTGATCCCATACTTTGTTCAGTAAACTAAATAGGGAATATAAACAGCATATTTAAATGTCTATTAAAAAGTATTTTTATATAATATATGAATATGTGAACTTTTCAAAATCATTTTTATCGTTTTATATTTGGGTCAAATTAATGCAGGAATAAAGATAAATCCTTGTTTCACTTTCTGTCACTATTGTACACACACACACACACACATTAAGTAGGTTAGAGAAGGTCATTTGGTCTTTGAGACATTGTATCACTTTGGCTTTTCAACACATTTGCGCGCGCGCACACACACACACACACACACATGCATAAAGGATTTATGTGCTGTCAGATGGCTGTTCTGTTTCAGTAATGACAGCTCAATGACATCCATATACATACCAAACACACACATACACACACTGCACTGCATCTCACATCTGTACTTGTGAAGTTCTGCGTATTTATATTTTTAGAAAAGACTGGTAGTCTGGCGCAATCATGAAACCTAAACTGAGTGATACATGAATGATAAATAAAGTCATTAATCACAAATAAATCCTGAGCTGACAATTAAAGAAAGAAAAGAAGTTCATCTAAAAGGATAGAAAGGATGAAGGATTCACAGCTACAGAAGCAGAACGGCTCGGTTTGATAGTCTCGGCTGTTATGAACATCGTAAAAGTGTTTCCCTCCAGTCCTCTAAACGAGAGAGGAAAACCCTGATGTCTCGTCAGCAAGAGCATCACTATCACGTCACTAGACCAAAGGTGCACACACTGCACAGTGGCCAGTCATAATGCTGTTATATAGCCTATGGAACACACATCAGTGCAAAACTGTTGACTGGCTACAGTAAGTGTTGAGAAGGCTGTTTTGAAATTGTAGACTGCCAAGATATGTCACTCATCATTAAAAGAAGCTAACGGTCAAACTAGCTTTTGGAAAAAGTAGTTACTGGAGCTGCATTAGAAGTTACTAATAAAAAGTAGCAAACAACATGTATATGTTAATATATATGGCAGTTTAACTGTGCTCCTTAATTGTACATAAAAACAATTTTGATATGAAATTACTAATTATAAGTAAGACGCAGTAATTTCATATCAAAATAGTTATATATTTATATGGTGTATATACTGTATATGGTGTAATTATGATTAGCCTACTTAATTTTTATATATATATATATATATGTGTGTGTGTAATTAATTAATTGTCATTCCATTATTATTTTGTATTAAATTACAAATTATAAATAAAATAATTTATAATTATATATATATATACAGTGCTGTCAAACGATTAATCGTGATTAATCGCATCCAAAATAAAAACATTTGTTTACATAATATATGTTTGTGTACTGTGTATATTTAGTATGCATATATAAAAACACACACATACAGTATATATTTTGAAAATATTTACATGTATATATTTATATTCATATAATTTATATTATATAAAAATATATTTAATATATAAACATTACATATTTTTCTTAAATATATACATGCATGTGTTTGTGTTTATATAAACATACTAAATATACACAGTACACACACATATTATGTAAACACATTTTTTTATTTTGGATGCGATTAATCACGATTAATCGTTTGACAGCACTATATATATATATATATATATTATTAGACAACTTAATTCAATATATATATATATATATATATAAATGATAAATTATCATTAGTTTTTATTTTTATATACACATGACAAAATGTAAAATATTTTCATTTGTAACATTTTTCAAAAACAAAATCTGAGGCTTTCAATTAAGAGTGAAATACAAATAATACAACTTTGAACAAAAAACACATTAATTTATATACTTTAACTGAACATAAAACAAGTAAGTCACACTACCCTTTTTTGAAAAACGAATTTTGAAAACAGTTGAACCGATGTCACGCTAAAATGTAGTGCTTTGAGTTCAGATTAATTAATCGCAGAAATGTGCAGAGAGAAAAACAGGAAGAGGAATTCAACACAGTGTAATCAAATACAATCCAAGAGTATCCAAGTCAAGATCAAGCAGATGAAAATCATGAAAACAAAGCTAAGAGAGAGAAAGCAATTAATACACAATTACGGTAATCTTACAATGACACAATTAAACAAAATGAGAGCTTCAGTGTGTTGGTCACTATAGAAACGGGATCAATATTGATATGATTGTGATCGCTGGGTTTAAACAGACATTATTTGTCGTTTTTACTATCCATAATTTACTGTCGCCATCCATGGATGTTGACTAGTTTACTTTAGGGCGCTGTGTGAAGGATAAGTGCTCTGCGGGTGGGTTAAAGTTTCAGAGCAGACATCACATGCATTCTGTGCCATGCATGCATGTATTTTAGACCTGCTAATCTCTGGATCATATATCTTATAAAAGTGTTTGAGTAGAATTAGTCTGTGGAATTTAATCTGTCAATTGTGAAATGTAACACACAGTTGTGCCATCACACACACACACACACACACACACACTCCTTTGTTTTCTTTACTCCATGTTACTTTCTCAATGTCACTTTGTCATTAGAGACATAGGCCACATATGGTCAACAATCCCCACACTGAAAATAGCCTAATAAACTCACCAGATAACATTTTAAGGTGAAGGTTAGGTTTAGAGGATAGACAATATCATTAGTTTAGTATAAAAAGTCAAAGGACAGTTCTTACCAAGATAAAATAGTCTAACCAAGCCAAAATATTGTCCCAGAAAGTCAGATAAATCTGACAAAAATAAATAAGTAAATGAATAAAATTACATGGAAATGTTGTTCATAAATAAATAAATAAACTTAATTTAACGTTAGATTTTGCAAATCTGTACTTATTATCAATTTAATAATGATCTATTTTAGCATTTATTTAATTATAATTTATACAATATATTTAAAGTAGTTTGTGGGAAACAGTGTTATTTTAGTATCATTGAGATACTATTATAGCTTTGATTAATATATATGTTTGCAAAACAAAGCTATTTTAGGGTTAGGTTTGAAAATCTTGACTAATTAGCATATAAATAATTGTATATTATGTCATCTAATTATTAATTAATTATTTAATTATTATATCATTTATTTAAAGTTTGTGGCAAAAAAATTTATTTCAGTATTATTGAGATATTGTTATAGCTTTTATTATGTTTTATGCTTTCATTTTAATTTCTGTTTTAATTGCAATTTAATTTTAGTTTTAGTAATTGTCTTGTGTTTTTGTCATTTTTAACATATATATTTTTAAATGTGTCTATATAGTTTTTATTCATTTGATTTCCATGTTAGTTTTAGCCATTTTAGTACATTAAGTGGAAATGTATTTTTTTTCTTCTATTTTCTATTTTTAACTTTATTTTGTTTCAAATAACAAAAACATTTTTTTATGGATTTTGTTAACTATAATAACCCTGATGTCAAGCCCCCATTTATATTGGATTAAAAAATGTGTGTGTGTGTGTGTGTGTGTGTGTGTGTTATTTGATCCAGTTTGTGATCGTTTACTCCTCTCCAGTGATGTGTATGTCTGTGCATTTGTGTTTCTTATGTGCTGCCTTTTTTTGGCCAAAGTGTGACATTGGAAACGCCCTCCTCACAGTTTCTAGTGACCATGTGCCCATCTCTGCACTATATGTCGACTATAAAAGAGCCACTTGTCTTACACACAACGCGGTTCATATCTAGAAACATTACATACAGACAAACTCAATCATCAAAATGCCTTCAAGCACAAGAATTATGGCACCTCAAATCAAGAAGACAGGTAAAGCATTGGTATCATTATTAAGAACTAACCCAGAAATAAATCTCAGAAAATTTATTCTGTAGTCAAATGTGCTTGTAATGTACAGGATCTGTTTTACATTTTAAATGTGTTAGTTTTGTGTGTGTGTGTGTGTTATTGTTACATTATTTAGCTGTAAAATTATAGACATCATATAGAAATAATAAATCTAAGCTCAGTACAGTAACACTAACTGTTTTAGAGTATGTTCAGATAGTGAAGGATTCATATTTCAAATATTACATATATATAAAATATTACAGAGCAACTCAATTCTATCTGGAACATTATCATTAACTAAAACTAAAGCCATAAAAAATTACTTAAAATAAAATAAACATGAACTGAAATTAAACTGATTTTATTTCTGTTAGTTGCCAACATTTCCCTTTTTCATTTAGTTTAAGTACGAAAATAACTATAAATAAACTAACACTTAACCAAATAAAACTTAATAAAAACTATATTGACATTTAAAAAACAATTCAAAGTAATAAAAATGACAATTACTAAAAATTAAATTAACTATAATTAATATGAAAATAGAAAAGTAAAATCTAATTTAAATATTAAAAACTACCTTTTAAAATGATTTTTTCATAGTTATAAAAAAGATCGGAGTATGTTTTAAGTTTTACAAGAAAATACTCGGCTATTTCAGTCTTTCTAGTTTCATGTTTCAAAATATCATGTCTAATTCAATGCAATTATCACTTTTAATTTTTTTTTTATTATTTGTGAAATTTACTAGCAATTTCAACAAAAAAATCAGTGTGTAATAGTATATCAGTGATACTAAAATAACTTTGGTCTGCAATAAATATAATAAGCAATAGTTTCAAAGGTGTGCACGAGGCCATTACGTCACGCTTATTCATTATTGAATCAATGCATGCCATTTAATTATAGCAAATGTGTCAAGAATGTTAATGCAACGGGGGTTACAAAAAACATGGGGGATCATTCAACTGAAGTATGATGGGAATTATCCAAATGCACATGCTTCAGTTTTGGGGTCGGCTCTCTTGCTCGACTGTACTGTAGGTTGCCACATTATCAGAAGTCTGAACAAGTGTTATAAATCATTTCATACTTTTGGGTCAGTGGGTTACTCATACACATTCATACATACAGGTACGCCAGTGCATACAGACATACAGACAGTGCATTGCCAGAGATGTGTCCTCGGCGGCTTAACTAGACAGGTTTCAGAGAGACACATACAGACTAGTTTAAAGGGGGGGGGGGGGGGGGGCATG